GTCTCTGCAGACACTGAGGATTTTCCTTTCCATGAACACCTGGACTCACTGCACTAAGATCCACTCAGCTTTCTTGTCCCTTTGCAGAGAACATTCTCCTATCTACTTGAATATTTGCTTCTTTGGGTTATCAGAGTCTCAGCTGGAATGTTACCTCATTTGACCCTCTCATGCAATAGAAGCCCTTTCAGTAACTCACCAAGACTTTCCTCCCCACTCTTAGCATTGTAATCCAGGTCACATTCTGAGATGGTTTGATTTATTGTTCTTATGATCCCTGCTCATATATATGAGCTTCATGAGATTAAGTGTATCTTGTATACTGTTCTCCCCATTCCTAGATTAGAGAAAGGCACATAATCGATTCTTAGTAAATATGTATGGGAGGTTGGAGGGACACATTAGACAGACCCAACAAATGTGAAACCTCCTGGCATTTTCCAGTATATCCAGAATCATTAACTTTTAGGTTGGGCAATAGGAAACTGCTGGCATTCAACATATTTTCACCTAAAATAGAAGTTTCATAGCTAATAATCTGGCATAGGTAGAATACAGAGTGGGTGAGGAAAGGGAGAAGCAGAAATACTTCTCAGATGAAATTCACTTCTTAGGGATGAGTAAGAACAGAAAGTCTTTTATCTGGGGAATAATGTCCTATTCTGTAGGCTAGGAAGATCAATTTGACTGTAATGTGGAGGGTGAGTCACAGAGGAGATGAGTCAGGAGACAAGGGCAATGATTTGGAGAAGTGATAGTGTGAATGACTAAGGCAAAGTAGGAAGGAGGGACTGGACCAGAGCTCTGTGGAGGAGGGTTTGTCAAGACTTGTGAAAGGCGCTTGATACAGGGAAATGGGAACCCCAGGTCCACTACACTGTGAGAGTTCTAAATCTACTTCACATATAGCACTACAGAAGTAAGCAAAACGGGATTCTTGACCCCAGGTACTTAGGTAAAGCAATCAGTCATAAAAGAAATAATGATGGCTGGCCAGTTAGCTCAATTGGTTAGAGCATGGTGTTAATTATGTCCAGGTCAAGGTCTTGATATGGGGCTAGAGAGATGGCTCAGTGGTTAAGGGCCATGGTTGCTCTTTCAGAAGACCCAAGTTCAGTTCCTAGAACCCACACTGGGGCTCACATCCATATAACTCCACGTCCAGAGGATCTGATACCCTCTTTTGAATTCTACTGGTACAAGGCACACATGTGATACACAGACATACATGCAGAGGGAAAAATGCACACATAGAATAAATAAATCTTTAAAAAGACGAGACCTCAGGCTTTTATAATCTTAAGCTTTAGAGTAGTTTTTATCCTGTTTAACAGAAAAGGAATCTGCAGCTTCAAGTCTTAGGCAAGGTCCTACAACTAGTATGATTAGAACTCACAGAAAAAAATTATTTCTCAATGTATGTTCTTAATTAAAAGAACATTATTTCACTGAAGAAATATTTAAAGACTGATATAAAATACATTATATAGAATATATTTTATATTATTATTTTATAGTATTATTTGATGTTTTTAGAAGTTAAAATATAGGGGCTGGAGAGATGGATCAGCTCTTCCTGAGGCTTTGAGTTCAATTCCCAGCACCCACGTGGTGACTCATACCATGTGTAACTCCAGTCCCAAGGGATCTGACCTCTCTTCTGGACTTTACGGGCACTGCATGCACATAGTTCACAGACACAGATTTAGGTAAAACATTCTTACACATAAAATAAAAACCTCACAACAATTTAATAGTAAAAATATAACTTTCTTAGTGCACT